AAGAGGAAAATGTGCAGGTAAATGCATTGATCTATTCCATGGGAGCGGAGGCAGAGCACATATTCAAGGCTTTCACGTTTACTAATGCAGCAGATGCTGACGTGTACGACGTTGTAATGGCTAAATTCGACGAACATTTCTTCCCGAAACGAAACGTGATTTATGAACGCGCCAAGTTCCACTCAAGAGCTCAACAACCAGGCGAGAGCGTGGAAGCATTCGTAAGGCAACTGTATGAGCTAGCTGAAAACTGTGACTTTGGAGCACTGAAAGAGGAACAAATGCGGGACCGCATAGTGATTGGAATTCGGGATAAACAAGTGTCACAAAGACTGCAAATGAAAAGTGATTTAACACTGAAGACTGCCATTGAAACAGCCAGGCATTGTGAGTTGATTAAGTTACAGAATACAGACAGGGGGCACGGTGCAGAGCACGTGGACAATGTAAAATCCGTGAGGAAAACCGAATATAAGAAATTCCACAACATGCCGAAGGGAAACAAAAAGACAAAGCGAGGAGCATGCACGAGATGCGGGCGTAATCATACGGAGGCCGAGCAGTGCAGTGCAAAAGGCAAAAAGTGCGTGAAGTGTAACAAAATTGGGCACTTTGCAGCTGTGTGTTACTCAAAAACTGTACAAGAGGTTACCGAAGCTGGTGATGATGAGACAGTGTTCCTGGGCTCAGTGGAGCTAAAACAAACGGATGCACCACTAGCAGAGGATGAGCCACCATGGCGCACCACTCTAGATGTAGCAGATACGCCAGTGTCATTTAAAATTGATTCCGGAGCGGACACCTCAATTATGTCTGAAGCCACATACGAAACACTACGGAGCAAGCCCAAGCTCAGTGAAGTGAAGAACACCCTCCAGAGCCACACGGGGCCAGTTTCTAGCTAAATTAAAGGCTAATATCAGCGGGCAACTGCGAAATTGCTGCTTCAGAGTAATTGTAGTCAAAACAAATGGCGACAATCTCCTGAGCAGAACTGTGGCAACCAGACTGGGCCTAATTAAGAGCATATATGAGATCAGCACATTCAGTGGCTTAGGGACACTGAAAGGAGCGCCAGTGAAAATCACGCTTAAAGAAGGCGCAGAGCCATACAGCATTGCCACGCCACGGCGAGTACCAATTCCACTACTCCCCAGAGTCGAAGAGGAGTTAAAAAGAATGGAATCTATGGGCATAATAGAAAAGGTTACTGATCCGACTGAATGGTGCGCGCCTATGGTACCTGTCATGAAAAAGAACGGAAAAATAAGAATTTGCGTAGACCTGAAAAAGCTTAATGAAAATGTGAAACGTGAAAAGTTTATTTTACCTACCTTGGATGACATCATGCCCAAGCTAGCAAAGAGTACAGTGTTCTCCAGCTTAGACGCCGAGAGCGGGTTCTGGCAAATCCCTCTGGAGGAGGACAGTGCATGTCTAACCACCTTCATCACGCCCCTAGGCAGATACTGCTTTAAGCGGCTACCGTTTGGGATTACATCGGCGCCCGAGATCTTTCAGCGAAAGATGTCGGAACTACTGCAAGGGCATGAAGGGACAGTCGTGTACATGGACGACATTTTGGTCTGCGGAGAAACACAGGAAATTCACAACCAGAGGCTAAAGCGAGTAATGGAGACCATCACCGCTGCAGGTCTACGTCTAAACAAGGACAAATTCAGGCTTAGCCGACCGGAGCTGAACTTCCTGGGACAAGTCGTGACCAAGGATGGCATAGCCCCTAACCAAGAGAGGGTCAAAGCCATAACATCCATGGAACCACCTCAGAACGTGAGTGAGCTGAGACGGCTACTTGGTATGGTGAACTACTTAGGCCGTTACCTACCAAACCTCTCCACAGTGTTACAGCCGCTCAACGAGCTACTCAAGACTGAGCGGGATTGGTGCTTGGGCCCCCAGCAAGACAGAGCGTTCACCGAAGTGAAACGGCTGATCTCAACAGCACCAGTCTTGGAGTTCTCTGATCCGGCAAAGCCAACCGTCGTCAGTGCAGACGCAAGCAGTTATGGGCTCGGAGGAGTCCTCCTACAGAGCCATGATGGGGCCCTGAAACCTGTTGCATTCTGTTCGCGTACGTTGACTGATGCCGAGAAGAGATACGCTCAGATAGAAAAGGAGTGTCTCGCAGGAGTGTGGGCCTCTGAGCGTTTCTATCAGTATCTTTGCGGCTTAGAAAGATACAAGCTACTTACAGACCACAAGCCACTGGTGACTCTAATCAACTCGAAAGACCTCGACACCACACCAATTCGCTGTCAGCGCCTGCTTATCAGGTTAATGAAGTTTTACCCAGTCGCAGAATATGTTCCAGGCAAACACCTAGTCGTCGCAGACGCCCTATCTAGGCAGCCAATGGCGGAGACCGACCTAGGTGACCTAGAAGCGGAGGTGAAAGCGTACGTGGACTCGGTGGAAGATGACCTAAGGGTGAGGAAGCCGATCATCCAGCAGATAAAGGACCAGACAAGAACGGATGCCGAGCTCCAGTGGGTCCTTAAGTATGTCCAAAAGGGGTGGCCGGAACACTCGAAGAGCGTAGCTGTCAGAGCAAGCGCCTACTTCAAAGACCGGGGCTCACTTAGTGAGGCCAATGGATTGCTGCGACGTGGTAAGCAGATTGTGATCCCTTGCAGTATGAGAGACTTTATGTTGCAGAGGATTCATGAGGGCCACCAAGGCCTTACCAAGTGCCGAGAATGGTACAACGGCGCTGTGTGGTGGCCGGGCATCGCCAGTGACGTGAAGAAGCTTGTGATGTCATGTAAGCATTGCAACATCAACAGACCGAGCCAAAGTAGAGAACCGTTGATCTCCACACCATTGCCAGACCTACCATGGCAGAAGCTCGCAGCAGACCTGTGCGAGTTCAAAGGTCGTCACTACTTGATCGTGATAGACTATTTTTCCAGATGGCTTGAGATCCTAGACTTACCAAAGACAAACTCAGAAACCGTCATACAAAAGCTGAAAAGCATCTTCACACGCTACGGGATACCAGAGGAGCTTATGACAGATAACGGTCCTCAGTTCTCAGCCGAGCTGTTCAGAAACTTTACAGCTGAGTACGACTTCCAGCACGTTACTTCAAGCCCTCACTTCCCACAATCCAACGGCATGGCCGAACGAGCTGTGAAGACGGCGAAGTGGATTCTCAAACAAGATAACCCTCACCTAGCTCTCCTGAGTTATCGCTCAACACCAACAGAGCCGACTAGGCAAAGTCCAGCCAAGTTGCTAATGGGCCGAGAAATCCGCACAACGCTCCCCGTACTCAAAGAGAGCCTGCAGCCAATGTGGCCTAATCTAGAGACTGTCAAGGAAAATGACGCAAAAGCGAAACAGTCCTATGAGAAGTACTACAACTGCAGGTACTCCGCCAAGCCTCTACCACCACTCTCCATCGGCGATAAAGTCAGATTGAAGATCGACGGAGAAAAGGCTTGGACAACGGCAGCGACCATGCAGCGGCAGGAGGCTGCGCCGCGTTCCTTCACACTGGAGATGGAGAGAGGCGACACCCCACGATGGAACCGGCGCCACATCAGGCCGATCAACCAGGAGCTGTCATCACCACGACAGATGGATGTTCATCAGCCGACGGATCAAGATGGACAGCGTGAGCCAGCAGAGCAGGGCTTGACCACCGCCGACGCTCCTGCTGACATCCCTGGTTCTCCTGAACACCCTACGCCAGTCGTCACCAGGTTTGGTCGGATCGTTAAACCAAACCCCAGGTATGCCACTTAGTTGAGATAATGAACAAAAGGGCAGAATAAATCCCTTCTCATCTCAAGGGACTGTGGTAAGTCCCCCCACACCCTTAGTTACTGTTCTGAAAAAAAAAGACAAAGACAAGAAAAAAAAAAAAAAACAAAAAAAAAAAAACAGAAGAAACCTTATAAGAATGTGTTTTTTTTTTTTTTTGTTGGGCCTGTGGAAGGTTTTGTTTATTATATAATGGCTAAGGTGAAGTGGGTGTACAAGATTAAGCATACAGTTTAAAGTTCGGCTAACAGTTTATGTTTGTATAGTGATGTCATGTAGAGTCTAAGTTTAAGTGCATAATATTGCATACTGCGCATATGTGACGCAGCTTTGAGTTCTATGCACACAGCGCGTGATGTACATCAGTCAGTGAAGCAGTCTGTACGTGCTACGTCATCAGTCGGTCGTGTCTGTGTTCAATAAACTATTTTCGCTAGAAAATACTGTCGTCCAACGAGCGTTACTTGAGACGTAAACGCCACACATTTCTCTCTTAAATATTCCTCCTTATTAGGCTTATGAGATACATTAATTCAATGAGTGACCAATTCATTCAAAGTAAGATCTACTCATAAAAATTAACAGTATGAAAGATTTAAAATCTATCAGTCTGTGTGAAACTGATCTGTGTGACATCTGAATATTAAAGAAATTAAGGAACTTTTCATACAGTACTAATTTTTAAAACATACATTTTAAAATTAGTCTGGAATAACATCCGCAGTCAAGAAAATACAAAAATAAAGCTTTTATTGTGAAAGGAGTAACTTTGTTGTGTAAACAGTTTGAAAACAGAGCTGAACATGAGCACCACTAATTATATAAGATACATTTCATAGAAATATGTTTTACTGCAAACAAAACAAAAACAAGGATGGAGAAGAATCCAAAGTTTCCATAAAATCATGAATTATGAAATTTATGAAATCAGATTGTGAATCAGCCGATTAGTGACCCGTCCAGTTTGTCATCACTGATAATTACGACAGATGGTATTTTAAATATCACTTTAAATTAACAGAAAATCACAAAGATCTTTAGTCAATAAAACAAACAATATAATAAATTGAAGGATCTAAGGCACAAGTACATCTTAAAAAGGGGAACTAATAAAAAAATAAAGCAAAATATAAAAGATATAATTGAAAACATGGTTTCTTTCTAAATTATTATTTATGCTCTTACCAAATGTGGTTCTGGCCTGGATTCAAGCTTCAGTGAGGTTTTCTTTTCCCAAACTCTTTCTGTAATTTCTTTGTCCAGCTCCCGGTTGGATTAAGGCAGATCCGTCTTTCACTCACAGTGGTGACTCTGCAAGTAAACAACATGCAGAAAGTACAGAAAACACAGCTTCTAATTTAGAACACAACATGAGCCTCAAGGTCTGAGTCCATCAGCACCAGATAGAACAGAGTCCTCTGGTGTTTATATAGAAAGATGAAAAGATGCTTGAAAACTGTAGGGAGTGCATGTGGACCATGGAGGACCATGGCACCCTGTTCTAACAGGCACTGCAGTCTGCATGAACTCACATGATGGAACTGATTTTGCAGTGGTTTGGAGACATCTCCAGGTCCTTCACCTTCCCTTTTGGAATCGTCATATTGCTGTTATGTGAACAGCAGGGACCGTTGAACCCACCCACCTCTAGAGCCACTGGACCTGAGGAAGCAAACACAACGTTAGATACCGACCCGGTTCAGACCCACCCAGCAGACAGGAGACTCAGGCAAAGTTCTTTACCTGCAGAGCTGGACCGCAGGAAGTAGAGGAAAGTCAGGAGGCAGAGAGTCAGAAGGATCTTCATGGTTCCTGGACTGAAGTTCTGTTCTCTGTATGGAGGTGTAGAAGTCTGTGAATGACCGATCTGATCTGCAGGGTTTATATTCAGCTGATATTTCCACCCCCTGTTATTAAACAGTTGTGTTCTCAGAAAGCAACATGTTTCCTTCCTCCTCTGCTTCTGCTTCTTCTTTCTCACTCAGCATGTTTTCCATTAAAAGACTTCAGAGAACCTGCAGGGATTTCCATCCTTCTTAAAGCTGCTGGAATCTGTCTCCGATATTATATTTCTCTTTATTTGCTATAAAACTCCAACATCTGCAGAGTTTCAGCACCATCTGTCCTAAACCTGGGAGTAGCTTCAGAAGGACTACGTCCTTACCTGGTCTACTGTCATCACTTCAACATTCATTCCATTGTTGCTCCGGAGAGTCTGCTCTCTTCTGATATTCTGCTCCTGTTGTTGTCCCTCCTTTTGTCTCCATTCATGTCTCCTGACACACTGAGAGGCAGTGGAGCATGTTAACAACATCGAGGGTCCTGCTTCTCCACATCTCCTCTGACCTTTCCTGGACATCTAGCACATCAGTCCTGGAGAAGAAGGGCTCGACAGAGGCTCTTCTTCCACAGAAAGCTGAAACAGAATGACCTGCCCCCCAGAGTGCTCTAAGCATTTATTAAAACACCACAGAGGACATCCTATGTCTCTCAATGCAACACCTTGGTTCTACAGCTGCCAGTACAGCAAAAGATTGGACTCAGCCCACATGGCCAACAAAGAGCAGAGAATTGTGAGATGCCCCCTTCCTGATCTAGATTCCAAAAACACCAGACCAGTTCAGATCACCAGTATTGATTTCTCATCGAATAATAGGGAGGATAAACCTTCCTATAAAACAATTATTGCTAAAACATGTTATGACAAATTTCATAAATGTGGTCATTAATCTGCATCAAATATATGTTAATATGAGCCTGATTTCATGAGTATGTTGCGCATTAATCAGCTGCTGAGCCCGCCCTTAGATGCAATCTCCCCTCAGCTCTGGAGCAGCAGGAAACTGCCAGTCAGCCTCTATGAGAAATTCCTGCTGAGGTTTGAGCCTCGGCCTATTGAGATAAGCAGCGAGGAAGTAGAGCCCTGATCGGATAACATAACAAAATATTTCTATTCTAGTGAAGTTAAACCTCTTAGGGGGTCAATGGAGCAGTGGCGGGTCATGAAGCTGGCTACTCTAGGGAAAAGTGATCATGCAGTCAGAACAGTCGTCTTGTGCTTAATTCTTGCCGTCGTTTCTGGAGTTTATTATTTCACCAGTTATAGTAATACTTTTTATGTGTTTTAACATTTTCTTAATGCAATTTGTGACTTTTGGATTTAATCAACAACACTAAACCTTCCCTGTTTCAGAGAGCAGCAGCCGCCACTGCTCATTAGTGACCCCTCTTCCCTGCAGACCCCCTGTTTAAACCGCTGCATTCAAAGACACTTTGCAGAACCATCACAGACTGACAGACTGGAGATACTTCATTACCTGCAGCCGTCTAAGCCATCTTTCCCGTCCAGAGTCCAACTTACTCTTTCTTCTGGAACTTATTCATCAGCTCTACAATCACGTTTTATCCCATGTTCCGTCTTTTGTTTTCAGTTTTTGTGCAATGAAATATGTGATCACCCAAATGAAATGCAGTTATGCATGCTCTCCTGTTAATGCTAATAATATGATACATGATAATGAAGAATATTATGGTTCTTTTTCATTTTCTTCTGGTTCTGTTTGATCAGGGTAACTGAGTCTGCCTGGACTGAATCCTGACCTAGAAATGGCTTCTCTGTCCGATACTTAGAAAAACTAAATACACAGAACGGTACCAGAGGAAAAACGAGGAAGTGAAAGTGGATAAGAAAAGAGCTGACACACACAAAGGAAGTGTTAACCCAACTTCAACCAAATACACAGAAATACCAGGATAAAATATCCTACTACAGAGTAATAAATAGAAAATGTCCTTATTATACAGTTCATTCAGAACATATCTACAATGTTATTCTAAATGGAATTCAATAAATCTTTGTAATCTAAACCCTACACACACCTCATTATACAGTGTTTGTTATATAGCAAATATATTTAAAATTGAAATCAAAAAAAAAAAAATCCCATTTAAGAAATTATCCACAGCTGTTGCTCAAAAGTTTCTGATCTTTAGCAGCAATTCCACACTTCAGTCTTTTTGGACCTAATGGACCGTCAGCTTAGTTCCAATATCTTTTGGCCATTCTTCTTTGCAGAACATGTTAAGGCAAGGCAAGGCAAGGCAAATTTATTTGTATAGCACAATTCAGTACAAGGACAATGCAAAGTGCTTTACATGACTAAAATATAGGAAAATAAAACAGAATCAGGATAAAAAAATAAAAGAAAATATCAAAGATATAATTGAAAACATGGTTTCTTAACAAATGTGGTTCTGGCCTGGATTCAAGCTTCAGTGGAGTATTCTTTTCTCAAACTCTTTAAGTAATTTCTTCGTCCAGCTCCCGGTTGGATCAAGGCAGAACCGTCTTTCACTCACAGTGGTGACTCTGCAGGAAAACAACATGCAGAAGGCTCAGAAAACACAGCTTCTGGGTCAGAACACAACATGAATAAAATCAATGGACTGAGATGAAACTCTGGCGGAGAAATCTAGGAGGGCTGAAGATCTGAATCAATCAGCAGCCAAAAACAAAGTTTCAGCACCAGATACAGAGTCCTCTGGTGTTTATATAGAAAGATGAAAAGATGCTTGAAAACTGTAGGGAGTGCATGTGGACCATGGAGGACCATGGCACCCTGTTCTAACAGGTACTGCAGTCTGCATGAACTCACATGACGGATCTGATTTGGCAGTGGTTTGGAGACATCTCCAGGTCCTTCACCTTTCCTCTTAGAATCGTCATATTACTGTTATGTAAACAGCAGGAACCGTTGATCCCACCCAACTCTGGAGCCACTGGACCTGAGGAAGCAAACACAACTTTAGATTCCGACGCGGTTCAGACCCACCCAGCAGACAGGAGACTCAGGTAAATTTATTTACCTGCAGAGCTGGACCGCAGGAAGTAGAGGAAAGTCAGGAGGCAGAGAGTCAGAAGGATCTTCATGGTTCCTGGACTGATGTTCTGTTTTCTGGGTGGAGGTGTAGAAGTCTTTGAATGACCGATCTGATCTGCAGGGCTTATATTCAGCTGATATTTCCACCCCCTGTCATTAAACAGTTGTGTTCTCAGAAAGCAGCATTTTTCCTTCCTCCTCTGCTTCTGCTTCTTCTTTCTCACTCAGGATGCTTTCCACTAAAATACTTCAGAGAACCTGCAGGGATTTCCATCCTGCTTAAAGCTGCAGGAATTTGTCTCAGATATTATATTTCTCTTTATTTGCTATAAAACTCCAACATCTGCAGAGTTTCAGCACCATCTGTCCTAAACCTGGTAGTAGCTTCAGAAGGATGACGTCCTTATCTGGTCTTCTGTCATCACTTCAACATTCATTCCATTGTTGCTCCGGAGAGCCTGCTCTCTTCTAATATTCTGCTCCTGTTCTTATCCCTCCTTTTGTCCCCATTCATGTCTCCTGACACACTGAGAGGCAATGGAGCATGTTCACAACATCAAGGGTCCTGCTTCTCCACATCTCCTCTGACCTTTTCTGGACATCTAGCACATCAGTCCTGGTGAAGTACCTGTTATAACAGATATATTAATTCAATGGGTGACCAATTCATTCAATGTAAGATCTACTCATATAAATTAACAATATGAAAGATTTAAAATCTATCAGTCTGTGTGAAACTGATCTGTGTGACATCTGGAAATTAAAAAAAATTAAGGAACTTTTGATATAATTTTTATTTTGTTAAAAGTAACTTTTAAAATCAGTCTGAAATAAAATACACATGACAACAAATACAAAAATAAAGCTTTTATTGGGAAATGAGGAACTTTGTTGTGTAAACAGCTTGAAAACAGAGCTGAACATGAGCACCACTTATTATCTAAGATACATTTTACAGAAACATGTTTGACTGCAAACAAAACTAAAACAAGGATGAAGAAGAATCCAAAGTTTCCAAAAAATCATGAATTATGAAATCAGACTGTGAATCAGCCGATTAGTGACCGGTCCAGTTTGTCATCACTGATAATTATGACAGATGGTATTTTAAATATCACTTTAAATTCAGAGAAATCACAAAGGCTTTTAGTCAATAAAACAAACAATATAATAAATTCAAGGTTCTAAGGCACAAGTACATATTAAAAAGGGGAATTAATAAAAAAAATAAAAGCAAAATATCAAAGATATAATTGAAAACATTATACATATTATTTATGCTCTTAACAAATATGGTTCTGGCCTGGATTCAAGCTTCAGTGAGGTTTTCTTTTCCCAAACTGTTCCAGTAATTTCTTCGTCCAGCTCCAGGTTGGATTTAGGCAGATCCGCTTTTCACTCACAGTGGTGACTCTGCAGGAAAACAACATGCAGAAGTTTCAGAACACACAGCTTCTAAGTCAGAACACAACATGAGCCTCAAGGTCTGAATCCATCAGCAGCCAGAAACAAAGTTTCAGCACCAGATACTGAGTCCTCTGGTGTTTATATCGAAAGATGAAAAGATACTTGAAAACTGTAGGGAGTGCATGTGGACCATGGAGGACCATGGCACCCTGTTCTAACAGGTACTGCAGTCTGCATGAACTCACATGATGGATCTGATTTTGCAGTGGTTTGGAGACATCTCCAGGTCCTTCACCTTTCCTCTTGGAATCGTCATATTGCTGTTAAGTAAACAGCAGGAACCCTTGATCCCACTGAACTCTGGAGCCAGTGGACCTGAGGAAGCAAAAGCAACTTTAGATACCGACCCGGTTCAGACCCATCCCAGCAGACAGGAGACTCAGGCAAAGTTCTTTACCTGCAGAGCTGGACCGCAGCAAGTAGAGGAAAGTCAGGAGGCAGAGAGTCAGAAGGATCTTCATGGTTCCTAGACCGATGTTCTGTTCTCTGTATGGAGGTGTAGAAGTCTGTGAATGACCGATCTGATCTGCAGGGTTTATATTCAGCTGATATTTCCACCCCCTGTCATTAAACAGTTGTGTTCTCAGAAAGCAGCATGTGTCCTTCCTCCTCTGCTTCTGCTTCTTCTTTCTCACTCAGGATGTTTTCCACTAAAAAGTTCACAGAACCTGCAGGGATTTCCATACTGCTTAAAGCTGCAGGAATTTGTCTCAGATATTATATTTCTCTTTATTTGCTATAAAACTCCAACATCTGCAGAGTTTCAGCACCATCTGTCCTAAACCTGGTAGTAGCTTCAGAAGGATGACATCCTTATCTGGTCTACTGTCATCACTTCAACATTCATTCCATTGTTGCTCCGGAAACCCTGGTCTCTTCTAATATTCTGCTCCTGTTGTTGTCCCTCCTTTTGTCTCCATTCATGTGTCCTGACACACTGAGAGGCAGTGGAGCATGTTCACAACATCAAGGGTCCTGCTTCTCCACATCTCCTCTGACCTTTCCTGGACATCTAGCACATCAGTCCTGGAGAAGAAGGGCTCAACAGAGGCTCTTCTTCCACAGAAAGCTGAAACAGAACGGCCTTTCCCCCAGAGTGCTGAGAACATTTATCAAAACACCACAGAGGACATCCTATCCTGTCTCTCAATGCAACATCTTGGTTCTACAGCTGCCAGTACAGCAAAAGATTGGACTCAGCCCACATTGCCAACACAGAGCAGGGAATTGTGAGATGCCCTCTTCCTGATCTAGATTCCCAAAAATCATGTTATGGCAAATTTCTTAAATGTAATATTAATCTGCGTCAAATATATGTTAATATTAGCCTGATTTAATGAGTATGTTGCGCATTAATCAGCTGCTGATCCCGCTCTCAGATGCAATCTCCACTCAGCTCTGGAGCAGCAGGAAACTGCCGGTCAGCCTCTATGAGAAATCCCTGTTGAGTTTTGAGCCTCGGCCTATTGAGATAAGTAGCGAGGAAGTAGAGCCCTGATCGGATAACATAACAAAATATGTCATTTCTAGTGAAGTTAAACCTTTTAGGGGAACAAAGGTGCAGTGGCGGGTCAAGAAGCTGGCTGCTCGAGAGATGTCTTGTCTTGAATTCTTGCCGTGGTTTCTGGAGTTTATTATTTCACCAGTTATAGTAATGCTTTTTATGTGTTTTAACATTTTGTTAATGCAATATGTGACTTTTGGATTTAATCAACAACACTGAACCTTCCCTGTATTAGAGAGCAGCAGCCGCCACTGCTCATTAGTGACCCCTCTTCCCTGCAGACGCCCTGTTTAAACCGCTGCATTCAAAGACACTTTGCAGAACCACCACAAACTGACAGACTGGAGACACTTCATTACCTGCAGCCGTCAAAGTCATCTTTCCCGTCTAGAGTCCAACTCATTCTTTCTTCTGGAACTTATTCATCAGCCCTACAATCAGATTTTATCCCATGATTGGTTCTTTTGTTCTCACTTTTTGTGCTGTGAAATATGTGATCGCCCAAATCAAATGCAGTTATGCATGCTCTTCTGTTAATGATACTAATATGACACATGATAATGAAGAATATTATGGATCTTTTTCTGACTTTTTGATCAGGGGAAACTGAGTCTGCTTGGACTGAATCCTGACCTAGAAATGGCTTCTCTGTCGGATGCTAAGAAAAACTACATTCACAGAACGGTACCAGAGGAAAGATGAGGAAGTGAAAGTGAAAAAGAAAAGAGCTGACAAACACAAAGGAAGTGTTAACCCAACTTAAACCAAATACACAGAAATACCCGCATAAAAACTCTTACTTTAGAGTAATAAATAGAAAATGTCCTTATTATACAGTTCATCCAGAACGTATCTGCAATGTTATTCTAAATGGAATTCAATAAACCTTTATAATCTAAACCCTACACATACCTCATTATACAGTGTTTATTATATAGCAAATTTATTTAAAATTGAAATCTAAAAAAAAATCCAATTCATGAAATTAACCACAGCTATTGCTTAAAAGTTTATGATCTTTAGCAGCCATTCCACACTCCAGTCTTTTTGGACCTGGTGAACACTCAGCTTAGTTCCAATATTTTTTGGCCACTCCTCTTTGCAGAACATCTCAGGCTACATCAGGTTTGATAGGACACAGTTGAGCAGCTTTTTTGGTTCTGATTTACTCCTTTAAGATCCTGGATGTGGTCAATGTCCCAGTCTGAGGCAAAGTATGCTCTGGAGCCAGTTTTCTTCCAGGACGTCTCTTTACATTGCTGTATGTATCACCTCCTTTATTCTTTTCCGTCTGCTGAGAAACATTCCCATAGCATGATCCTGCCACAAACATGCTTCATTGTAGGGATGGTAATGGGTCGAGGATCAGCCATACCTGGTTTCCTCCAAACATGATGCTTGATATTCACACCAGATTTGAACCAATGTAACCAAACTAAGGTCAACACTGCGGCGTTGAAGGAATGTCTGGCAGCTGCTTATGAAGGGAAGGTCTCCTGATGAGTAGATGCGTCTCAGGTGTGCTGGAGGGCTCCAGCCCAGGAGACCCACAGCGCACTCTGCTGGAGGAAGGTGGTACATCCCCAGATCCCAACACAAACATTCTTCATTGTAGGGATGGTAATGGGTCGAGGATCAGCCATACCTGGTTTCCTCCATACATGATGCCTGATATTTACACCAGAGTTGAACCAATGTAATCTCCCTCAACATCAGCTACATACTACCAATACTGCTCCTCAGCATGGCTTTTTAATTTTCTCTGCTTCCTCCCCTAATCTGACAAGTGATAACAAGTTGTTTAGCCAAGTATTATCATCTTGGTGGTGACCTGTAAATTGGCAAACTTTTGGGGAAAAGCTGGTCTGATTCAGAGCAAAGATATCCCTCACACTTTTAATAGTCCAGCTCTTTCATTTTAGGACTCTATATTTAAATTTAAATTTCTCCACTGTGAGATCAATAAAGTCAATCAATTCTGAATGAATGTATTAATTATCCAAAAGGGTTAACAAACCAGGGTCCAGAACAGGAAGTATAGTTGTAGTTTCAATTTAAAACACCTTTCTTCAGCTTCTCTACTGTTACCTTCAGATAATGTATTTATAAAGGTCAAATCAAATAAATTAGAACGGGTAGATATTAAATGGGGAAACCATAATCGATTTAAAATTAAGAAAACAATAAAAAAAATTAATAAATACTTAAATAATTAATTAATAACTTGATTTGCTAAAATCAGACTGATTTAAGCAAGATGATTATGTCAGCATAATAGAGGCAATTCCCTCTTGTCATGATGGGTGTCACAGAGAGTAAGCCCAAGATGCAGAACACACACGGAGGCACTGGTAAAAGTCCAAAGAGTTTATTTTGAAAACAAACACATGAATACTGGAACTGATTCAGTCCGGGGGGCTGGTTCACTGGGGTCTGAGCAGGGAAAGGGAGATGGAAGGTTAACAGAGTTCATGAGGGGCTAAGCCTCTAGCTGTAAGCTTAGCAAAGCTAACTTGGACCTGAGCTTCCAGCTTAACTCAGAGAACTACTGGGAAGACACGGG